TTCACACCCAAAGGTCGCCGCAGAGGGCGCTTAGCCCTGGGCTAAGCGTTCGCGCATACTTCGTTAGCCCGTGCTAAGGTCTAGACCGCGTCTTAAATTCGGATCAGATTTAACCCGTACTTAGCATTCCTTAGCCCTGTGCTAAGCGTTCATGCACGTTTTCTTAGCACGGGCTAAAGAATTTGACCTCTTAGCCCGTGCTAAGGAGCTGTGCGTGAACGCAACTAATATACACTTTCTAATCTGTATACAATTATATTTGTACACTTTTTAGTTGTTTTTATGTACTTAGTTGCACCAGATGAGTTTTAAAGACTGACTGTCATTTTGTATGTTCTGTCAGGGGGTGCTATATTTAAATGAACATCAGCATTTTTCACAACTAAACTTTGGCACAGCATTTTGCACAGCTTTATGCATTTAAATATAATTTATTCGTTAATTTTAGCCCAAATTGACAGAATTTTACGAATGTCTAAATTACTGATAAAATATGGAATAAATTAAACTAGTTTGTGAAAGGTGACACAAGTGACTTTGGTGATCAAGGGGTTGATGTTTTCTGTCTGATTGAGACCAATTTTCTGTTCAGTATTACATGAGACAGCTGTGTGATGCATTGATATAAAAACAATAATGTAGTCAACTGGTGACAAACAAAACATATATAGGTGATCTAAAATTTTAATTCACTTGTGTTGTAATTTGCACAATTATGTTCCTTGCTTGGAACAGACGAATATTACTATACTTGATTAACAAATCTGATATTATTAGATATTATTATACATCTGTCACCATAATGCCATAAGTTACAGCGTAATTTTATGTGGTATTTTCATCCTACCATACTAGGAAATGTGAATTCCAAATATGGAATGATTATGCACGTAAGCTACCTCTAATAATAACCTTGCCACCAGGGTTTGATCAAACTCCACACAAATAAGTTCGCTGATTCTGTTCTAAACATTTTAGATTTGGCATTCCCATGGTGTATCCTTGGTAAGAAAAGATGTTACAGTATAATAACAAGGTTATTATGAGAATACCTCAATGTATGCACTCAGACAGTACACCGTCACATCGACCTCCGCAGCACTTTGGTCGATACTACAGTGCATACTTTGAGGTATTCTCGTAATAACCTCATATTCTATTTATCACATATATATCGCTTCCTGTATATAGAAAACAAAGGTAGTAAAATGGCCAAAAACATATGTGGTTTGCAGTATCTAAATGAACACACACGTGTGGTTCACAATCTAATATGAATACAAGTATGCAGCTGATGTTTGGAGTTGACATTCTTCATAAGGATTAAAAACTAGTGGCTGGGCTGAATGTCAATCATTTTTTAAACTTGCCATGGGACCCACAGTCATCCTAGGTTTCTAATATGCTGCACACGTCTGCAAACATGTATGTAGTAATTTAAAAAAAATTGTCTTAATGTGTCATTTTCATTTCCTATTTTAAATCAATTTTAGGGTAGCATTCTTTCTACCTTAAAGTTTATCACAACAAAATTTTGTTTATTTTAATTTTAAATATTCACCCAATATTAAATTTTACTTTCACCACTTTGACAAAGTGTCAAAAGCCTAACTAGAATTCACCGATGCTCATTTACCAAACTAAGTAAGTACCCATTTGTAAGACTGTTTTGCATCTTGGGGTGGCTCAACAGGTGGTTTTAGCAGTGCAATTTGAGTCTACTGCATAGTTTGGGCTCACTATTTTCAGAACTCAACAGAAATCCACACCTCAGAAGTGAGTGCACACTCTAGTTTTGGCTCATTATTTTCAGAACTCAACAGAAATCCACACCTCAGAAGTGAGTGCACACTCTAGTTTGGGCTCACTGTTTTCAGAACTCAACAGAAATCCACACCTCAGAAGTGAGTGCACACTCTAGTTTTGGCTCATTATTTTCAGAACTCAACAGAAATCCACACCTCAGAAGTGACTGCACACTCTAGTTTGGGCTCACTATTTTCAGAGCTCAACAGAAATCCACACCTCAGAAGTGAGGTGAAATTTTTCACGTGACCAATTATTGCTAGGTAATCAACTGATATTTCTGCAGGGTTGATATTACAAGTCTGCATGACTTTGATGTTAAAAATGGCAGATTTTAAAATGAGTACCCAGTTCTAACTTGTCTATTTCCAATGCATGCATGGTGGGTATAATGGGTGCGAGGCTGGTTGAGCGTTATTTTTCGTACCTATACTTAAATAACATGATTCATTGACAATATCCACAAACTATGAAAATGAAGCTGTGAAGGAAGTCATGAAAATTATTGTGCAACAAAATGGCTTTTTGATTAGTCAGGAAAAACCATGATGCCCACGCAATTTCATTTTTAAAAATGCTTCAAATAATAAATATAAATGTTGGAAAAAAGCAAAGCGAGAAGCAAAGTCAAATTGATTATATAAGTGCTAGGCTATATCCTGTAAACCATTACTTTGATGGTTACATGTACTTGATATACCGAGTAAGGGCATTCGATTAGACAGAATTTGACGATAGCAACTGATTTCTTGTAATCAAGAAAATGTTCGCTCATAAAAACAACTCGTTGAACACCAAAGTTAACTTCTGTCACCTTCCACAAATGAACAAACATCCATGAATTTTATACCTATAGGCAATGACAATGACAATGTCCCAAATTAGCCAAGAAATAGTAAAATACACAAAAATGTGCAAAATATTAGATCAACATTGTGGCAGAAAGAATGGCGTTCAACTTTAAAGTATTAACCTTTTCAACACCAGACTTTCTAGGCCAAATTTTTCTGTATCGTTTTTCTCATATTCTTCAATATTTCTGGAAATGAACCCTAATTTTAGAGTCAACAAACAAAATTTGAGTTAATGTTCAGTTTTTACTAAAACATTTTGCTATTTTTGTCCCAATCTTCTGAAGGAAACATATAAACAGGACTATTTTGTGATTTGTGATGAAAAGAGGGAATTGGTGGTGAAATGGTAAAAGCTGTTACAAGTATTTATTTGCACTCACCCTGGAATGATCGGATCTATTTTTTCTTTAGATAACAGAATACTGATTGCCGGTATACCTCGATTCACCTTCAACCTAGAGATAACAAAAATATTAAATATTAATAATACAGACATATGCAATATTCTATCTGAACCTTGCCGCAAATAGTAAATAAAATACATGTATCTCACTTAAAATTCATTAAAGTTTGTGTCTGTTGCACAAATATAAAATATTGAAATACAGCATAGTAAAAATTTACGAAATGTCATGCAGACAGACACCTGCATGTAAGGCTCACCAGGTGATCAAAGATATCTACAATAATTGATCCCTTGGTACCCACAATACATTTATTAAATTACTGTGTTTGCTCATTAATGAAGTCAAGGATAATTAATTAGAGATGCGAGGTACACTAAATTGATAATAATATAATTAACTTTTTAACTACTTAAGTCAACACAATTGTCCACCCGGAGAGGAGTTTTACAATACAAACTCGACAGTAAACTGAAAGTTTCCTTATGGTTATATACATACATACATACATACATACATACATATTTATTAATTCCATACTGAGATATGTACATTGTACACTCTAGAGACCTTGGCAAGGTTTGCTTGTGTCTAATATGTGTATACATCTTTTACATATGAAAGTCTTTCAACTAAAAATTTCTCCTGACCAACTGCCTAACAGACTTGTAATATTTATTTGTTTATTTATTGACATCAATCTGTCATTAAACAGTACATTATTTATACTAAAAAACAGTTTTTATGATAAAAATTAAATAAATTGAGTTTATAGCGTGAGGGTTGTTACCTGAGCATGAGCGGGAATTGATAACAACGACGATAACAACACACGCTAAAGACGCAAAGGCTCATGGGTAGACGCTTGTTTGTAAACAATGACATGCTATGGGCCATCGAACGCGTGCGCAGGTGACGACTCCCCCACTTTAATATAAACATATGTTTGGTCATATGTGACTTTAATAATGAGAATTGCATAAGCTGTGGCATCGTGTTATGTGCAATTTACAATTAATATTTTTCTGATAACAATTTGAGACATTTAGCAATACAGTATAGTCCAAATTTAAAATCAAAATAACAACATGCCCAAACAATATTCAAATTAATAGTCATTTTAAGAAGTTTACAAGTCCAAGAAAACAAATATCAGACAAACAAACACACTACTAGTACTCAACAATCCAATGAAATAAATAACTGACAAATAAAAAAACAAGTGAACTAGTACATCAAAGCATAAATTATGAATATTGAATTGTATGTGTTTATGTATGATATGATGTGTAATATATATGTAAAGTTTGAATGTGATCAGCCAAAGCATGTCAGAGATATGACCTTGGAAATACATTTGTTAAAACAAAAAAAAGACATGCATCAAGAAACCATCATGTTCAATAGACAAAATTTGAATCAAATATGTTATTGAATCAAATTCAGCCATCTTGAATTGATCATGAAACACATGTATGTGCAGATGTAGGATAAAATGTGTGTGTGTGAAATTTGGATGATATCGGCTAAGGCATGTCTGAGGTACAGGAGCTCACACACAGACCCAAGAACTGAGGGTGAAATTACAAGTCCCAGTTTTCGAACTACATCTGCACAGGACTAACGACATAATCAAATAATATTCAGATTAATAGTCCTTAAAAGGAGTTTATAAGCCCAAAATACAAAACAAGTGCATACTGCAACAGGATTGAAGCCCATACCTCAGAAATTTTATAAAATCTTAACAAAAATGGATGCATTGAACCATGAAATCTGACAAGCAGCAATAATGGTGAAACACTCGTATATACATACACACAAACACACACACACACACAGCTTCATATTATTTTTTATTGGCCTGAAGTGTTTTCAAAAAGGTGTATTTTCAAACAAAGTTATTTAAACAAGCTCAAAAATACTAAGGTATATCCACAATGCCTTTTTATGTGACAAAAAGATGCTAACTGAATGTTTACAAAGGAGTCCAAGAAAAAGAATAATAGTTAACTATGAGGTGTTTGAAACACAGAAAGTAGCTGCATTTTTATTTAGACTAAACAGACGCAAACTTTCAAAGCGAAGAAAAAGAACGAAAGAGAAAGTAGCTTTAGGGTTAACAATCCACACAAATTTACACTTTCAGTTTTGTAGAATGTAACTGTCATGTTGTGAATGAGATACGGGATAAAAATAGATTAACGGCTTTAATAAAACACTCATCAAAATGAGATAAAACTCGTAAACGCAAACGATATAGATTTAACTGCACAGGTCGTATCATCTGTGTATTCATAGTCTTCAAAAGAATTAAAATAGGATTCTCATTCAAATAGTCTCGTATAAGTTCCAACTGACTTGCATTTATAAATCATACAAATAAAAACGGGCAACAAACGTGTACCTACTCAGGGATGAAATAAGGTCTTAAGAAATGCGAATACACCTCCATATTGTTATACATTAAATAATTAATTATTCAATACAGTCATGAATAATTCATATTTTTTGCCACTCAGACATTATAGAGAGGGTGATTACAGTTTGTAAATTGTCATGTGTGCGTAAACGTAATCGTAATTGGTTTCCCCAAAAATGAATACTTTTTATTTCTCGTGTTATAGATGAAATCATTTTCTCAATTTCTGACAACAGACTCTATGATGTCATACTTTACCCATAATCCTTTGCTTGAGAATCAAGGTGGCTGCATGACTACATAATACTGATGAGAAGTTGAATATCTAGAGAATGAATAGTGATATGAAAAAACTATAAATTGCATTCTCCTACATTTGTGGAGTTTTTTCTTGAGGGATCATTGTGTTGTTTGGCTTGACTTCCCCTTTAAGAATTTAATATGTGCAATGATACAATACGAAATAAGACATTTGTAATGAAGCTCATAAATCATTTGTTTTATTTCAACGCTGTAAACAAGTGTGGAGATTCAAATCATCCAATTGGGAGCTCTGACATCAAGTTATGACCATAACTGCATCATGGGAATGCTCATAACTCTTTGTTGTCGTATTGTTATGTGGTTACAAGCGCAATATTATATGTTAACTTTTCGATGTAATATAAAACACTAAATTTTCGCCTGAAGAAATAATTGCTATATTATAATTTGCATAGTTTGCGACTGCTACAAATGTCATTACAGTGTAATATCACAGTGACGCCATGATTAAAACATGCTCATAACAAAAATAATTTCTTCGTTTAGAGAGGGGGGGGGGGTAGAAGTTGATTTTAATTAGTGCAAAAATATTGTTGATATATAATTTAATGTAGTTTTGTTTATGGGCAGGGGTGCTTAACAAAGATGTATGCTTTTATCATCCACGACTCCAAGCAGTGCTACAATATCACACTATGCAAAGCAAAATTAGGTAAAATGAATGACAATTTAAATACAGTATCTCACCTTGCATGACAATTAAGTCTTCAAATGAGGACATTAAAGGGAGCAATAAACAGGGGTAAAAAGTGTTAAAAATTGATTTGTGGTTAAGACATTCTCTGAAAGTTACGAAGCAGAATACCATAACAATGTTTACTTTATCTGTAAGCTTAGTGGTAGATACATGCAAATACGACAGTGTATATGCCATATCAATGTTTGTCTAAGGGATTATTTGATAGCCAATTTTGCTATATAAAAATAATAATAATATTTGACTATTTCTAACTACTTGAAACACCTTTTTTAACACTTTCAGTTTCACAAATAACCTGTGAATTACACAAGATGCTGTAAAGCTAAGGATGAGATGATTGCATCTTGGTTTCACATTATCCGTCTGTTTTCTAGCTTTGACCAAATATTGACAGACATGCTCCATTGTCATTGATGAATAATGGCAATTGAGTACTATCAGTAAATGTACATATTATAAAAAGATAATGATCTCATCTTAACATTAATGGGTCATACTTCAACCAGTAATTGTTTATATTAGTTATGAGCAACAATTAAAGCTATGAAATGCCAGAGTTTATGTCTGAGACATTGACAACACGAGCACATTATAATTATTCAATATCATGATTTAATATTTACAAATTTTATGTAATGTGGTTCAGGGTCATAAATATTGTTTGTAGACACGAACTGAATTGGCACTCGTGTGCTAAGACAATTACAACAATTTATTATATTTTTTTAATTAAGTTATCTGGTAGAATAATCAGTTAATTATGTAAATTGTCATTAATCCTTCATCATCAAATTAAACAGTTAACTGATAGGATAACTAGTTAATTAATATGCAAATATATGCAGGCTTCAAGCAGAAACAGATCTAATTGGTCAATACCGATGCATCATATAATTTAAACAATTAACTGAAATATGATACTTAGTTAATTAATATGCAAATTTATGCAGGCTTCAAGCCAAAACTGATCTAATTGGTCATTAACCATGCATTGTAAAAATAAAAAATTAACTGAAATATGACAATTAATATGCAAATTTATGCTGACTTCAAGTGGAAACTGATCTAATTGGTCATTAACCATGCATTGTAAAAATAAACAATTAACTGAAATATGATACTTAGTTAATTAATATGCAAATTTATGCAAGCTTCAAGTGGAAACTATTAAACTGATTGGTTACTCATTAGTGTTGGGCTTACAGTTGATTATAATTCAGTGATTGGGAAATCAGCAACAAATGTAAAAACAGAGAAGACTAATCTTTATCATGAGTAACTGGAAAGAAAAGACGACTTCAAAAACTGTCATCGCTCACCGACGTTATATAGTCTTACAGCAATAGTTAAAAAAGTAGTTTGGGTGGTAGGGATTATGGCCAAAGGCATGTAATGATATGGTTAGCAGCACTGATTAAGCATTTAATATATGGACCTGCATATGCAGGGATCATATATGATAGATGTTGATAAAATTATAGTATTACAGTAAAACTACTGTAAAATACTTTATTTTTGCTTGGAATTAATTTTCACTAAAGGAATGATTCAGTGAAAATAAAATCCAGTGAATATACCCTTTTTCCTATATTTTACATGCAACTC